CTGTTATGCTTACACTGATGGCCCATGGACACATTCTAGAATAACCTTACACTCTTTTCTTTTTCCAATTAACATTTTTATTTTCAAAAACAAATTGATAGAAATGAATGCTTGAAACAATGACTTACATAATGCATGAACTTATCAACAAGTAGGCGTTACAGTTTAAACGTACAACTAGTCTCAATATCTAATACCATAAGTAATGATAATTCTCTTTTGCTGGTACACTAGGCAGTTATCAGCCTATTCACACAATAACTATGACGTAGACAATCAACACACGGGAGACAAAGGGACAGGCACGAAGACTGAGGACTAACAGCAATTCATAAACTACATTGATCCTGTTGATTTAATCTGCACATATAGACACATTTACTTCCCATGAAATTGCTTTTTAAAAGATTAAAAGAATTATAATTATAAAGGAAAAACGAACGGAAAACTGTGAAAATGATGGTGTTTAAGATAAAAATTATTTCAAAAATGAAAGTAAGGATTCATAATGGAAAACTGTGAAAATGATGGTGTTAATGATTTAAAATTCAATAATGAAAGTAAGGATTCAAAATGATAATAATAATGCTAACATGTGATGATAACTCAAGATAATAATGATACGGATAGTGGTGATAATAATAATGGAAAGGATAATGAACACAGTACTAATAAGAAAAAAAAATAGGGATGATGATAATAATGATAAAAGGTAATGATATGAATAAGGATACTCATCATAATGATGATACTGACCGCAAAAATAATGAGGATAATAATGATAATAATAATGATAATGGTTATAATAATAATGATTATAATAATAGTTATGATAATTAATAATAATAATAATTATATAATAATAAAAATAATAATAATAATGATGATGATGATATGATAATGATAATAATATTGATATTAATAATGTTAGTTATAATAAAAAATATAGTTGTAATTTAGATAATTACATTTTCATAATGTTTATGATATTGATGTGAATAATAACAAAAGAAACTAAACTAATGATGATTATAACAATGATGATAATAATGAAAATAGTAATGATAAGGTAAATAATGATACCTATAATTACAATAATGATGATAATGATAATTAACAGTAGAAATAAATATATGAAGATAAAAAAATTTTATAATAATAGGGATATTGATAATAATGATAAAAAATAACAATGATAATGATAATAAAATAATATAGTAATAATAATGATAATAATGATATTAAAACAAAAATAACTGAAAATAAAATTATATTAATAATAACGATATTAATCATGATATTAATATAATATAATGATAATCACATTAATGATAATAATAATGATAAAAGCAATAGCAAGGATAACAATACTAACGATAATGATAATAAGAATGATAACAATGATAATTATATTATTTATCATTATTATTATTTCAATAATAATAATAATAATAATAATAATAATAATAATAATCGTGAACATAACCACACCAAAATGATATTGATGATAATCATAAAAATCGACAAATGATAATGATAACAATAAACATATTAAGAATATACATAATAATCATGATAAACATAATATTACTAATAATGACCATAAAGCAACAAATAGAAATCATACCAAAATTAGCCCTATCATATATAATACACATGATGATAAGATAAGAAAAAAAAACAATAAAAAAGAGAAAGAAAAAAAGAAAGAAAAATACAAAAAAAGACATAAATCTAAGAAAAGCATCTTGGGAAAAAAATGTCGCCATTTATCACCTTTAAAAACTCCTTCAAACTTCCCTATCCATGCACCATCAGTGGCAAGAAGCAGCTATCTACTGTGTATGGTTAGTTTCCCCCCTGGGAGTGAACCTACTAACAAACAGCAAGTATCAAGCCTACAAGAAAGCCATATCTAATATCTGCATTTTGCCAAAGCTGCAATAATCAGTCTATATATATTTGGGGAAAACGTCTTGGATTATTTAATATCGGTAAAGTGCATTATTAGAATGCTTAATTATCATCAAATTATAATGTATATATATATTTTTTTCGATAAATGTACATATGTATTTGAAACAGTTATAATGTTAATTTAATATTGCATGCACAATGCTTTATATTAGAAGCCCTTTGTAGAACAACGATATAATAATAATAATAATAATAATTCGTGTAAGTAAAGGGTTTTGATCACAGAAACTGAGGGTTCAGTCAAAGAAAACGTGGAAATGTTAGAATGGAGGATAAACTAAGTTGTCTCTGCTCAGGATTTCCCCGTTCTTTGTATCTTCTCTTTTTCGTTAATAACATTTAGTTGGGTCATATTAGATATCTTTAACTCAAGCATAAGGGTAAAATTTTATTTTTAATTTATGATTAACGGATGGTTTATTTAACATACAACTTTATTTATCCTCACTTTGTTAAGTTAAAGATGTTAATAACTTACCAATTTTAACCATGTGTTTGTTATTAGGAGCTGATTCTTCTCATC